TAAAGCGATCAGTTTAATATCACCAATACTATGAAAAATATGAGCTTAAAAACATAAATTGCAATCCAGTTCTGAAATTACGAGCATGCTCGATCTTAAAGGCTTGCAAAGTACTCACTATATACGGTGATTTCTAGACGTAATTTAATTTTTTCAACACAATGAATGGCCACCTTCGTTGGACTGAGGTGTTTCATGAATGAGTCTCGGGTCGTTATGAAATAAGCGTACATGTCTGATAAATACGGATCTCAACATTTTCTTCCCGCCCCTCTTTTTCAGTATATCTATTCTTCATTTTGATACAGTATATCGCTGCACATAGATATCGGCTATATCCGGCACATTACAGGAAAGAATTTTAAACGGCGTAATGGATGTAACGTGATGTTGCGTTGGAATATTTAGGAGATATGCATGGATTTCTACACTTTATTGAATCTACAGGAATTTTTTATGATTAAAAATAAATGCGAAGTTATCAATCAACATTAGATTAAATTAATTCAAATTTACTCCAAGTATCTCTTTTACAATGAGGCGTATATAATCGTGATTGGATAATGCGCGATGTCGAACTAGCATCAAACTGCTGAACGAACACCCCGCTCATGCCGTAAGCTAGAGAAGTGTATCCTATAGCATCAAACTGCTGAACGAACACCCCGCTCATGTCTCTTATACACATCTAGATGTGTATAAGAGACAGGCTTTGCACTAGTACAGGGTCTTTGCACTAGTACAACGTCTTTGCACTAGTGCAGCGTCTTTGCACTAGTGCAGCGTATTTGCACAAGCGCAGGGTCTTTGCACTAGTGCAGGGTCTTTGCACTAATGCAGCGACTTTGCACTAGTGCAGCGTCTTTGCACTTGTGCAGGGCCTTTGCACTAGTGCAGGGTCTTTGTACTTTTGCAGCGTCTTTGCACTAGTGCAGCGTCTTTGCACTAGTGCAGCGCTTTTGCACTAGTCTTTGCACACTATCTTCCATCTCCCAAACACTTATTTTGCCCAAATAAGTTACTTGTGTGCTGTTCCCTCTAGTTAATTGTCCTTTTCTTGTACATGTTCTCGTCTGCCCACACACATTTCCTAGAAAATCGTGAGCAATGCAGCAGATTTTTTTTTTTGCGTGAGCTTCGCGAAGATCATTCCCAGTCAAATCACGTATCTTCACTGACACTAGCGCATGGTGCCCAACATAACTTAATATATTGCTAGAATAAAGTTTAGTAAACTTGGTTCATAATTTATACGCAATCAGTAAATGCAGAAACAGGAATTAAATAGATTTTTTACGTCTGCCTCGTAAACTAATGAGCTAATCATTCAACTCATTTTCATTAATTCCTCATTTTCCACTATAAAAAATTATTAAGTTTAGTAATTAGTAATGAATTAGTTATTAGTAATCAATTAGTAATTCTTTTTATAAATAATAGGAGTGCCCAATTAGAACACTTTTAATATTTGATCATATTTAAATAAAAATTATTTACTTTTCATCTCCGTGATTTGGTCAAACAAAAAAATTATTATGCCTCATTTTTCCTCGATAACTAATTAGTAAGTTTAGTAATTAGTAATAAATTAGTAATTAGCAATTACAGAGTAAGCAAGTAAATTTAATATAAAAGTGCAGGCCTGTAATGTTTCGTTAATGATGGAAAGTTTCAACACTTCACGCAGCGTCCAGAACTAAGCAGTTCCACGATGTCATGAAGGCAAATGAGGGTTGAGAAACGCATCCCTAATCAACGTCTATTGAAAGACCGGTTTGTTCAGTTCCAGCCACTCACGATCTGCATACATTTCGTAGTAAAGCTTGTCTTAGGGAAATATTGCAGTCTTGCCAGGTGAATGAATCTTGCTTGAGTGTATAGCTAAATGTGCGCTGGGTACGTAAACTCGATAAACAAGTGAGCATTAATCGACGTTGGCTGTCAATTTGCTTAACAAATTACTTCTTATGCGAATTGAACCGGATGTGAACATCGATGTTAAAGTTTAAGCCTCAATATTCTGCTAGACAAATTTGTTTACGAACGGCTTGAGTTAGAAATAAATAACGTTATTTTGTCCTTACATGATCCTGATCACTCGCCGCTTTACGAATATTAGTTATAATAATAATAATAATAATAATAATAATAATAATAATAATAATAATAATAATAATAATAATAATAATAGTAATAATAATAATAATAATAATAATAATAATAATAATAATAATAGTAATAATAATAATAATAATAATAATAATACGCGTCAAATCACAGATTAACCATCAATGAAATCACAATTTTGGTTCGAATTAAATTTTCCCAAATAAATAGTAGAAGTTCGCATAATTAGTTTAAAATGAAATAAAGTAGACGTAAACAAATTGAATGGATTTACTAGTGTTCAACAATCACAATAGTCACTATTATTTTTATACAACTTAGGCATCTTCATCCATGCACAGAGAGCACGAAGTGAACGTGATGTCTAAAAATACCCACAAGTTCATTAGCGTACACATTACCATATAACCACTTTATGTGAAAACTTGTATGGTAACGAGAGGGGTGCGGAACACGAATCATATACGATATTGAGCACCTGGTGAATATTAGACATGGTAATGTAAGATTCACTATGAATTGCCGTTTTTGACTAACGTAATTGGATGCCAGTAAGCACTATTTTATTTTTGAGGAACTTACATAAGTTGTGAGGAACTTAGTAGTAATTCAAATACTTAGAGAAAATTTCAATACAGTTACAAGGCCCACTCAGTTTTATTTGCATAGCACCGGGATTTCGGCGGTTAATGTCAGCTGTGTATTCATCTTACTTGCTACCGCTTCGAATACTGCATATTTAAACATATTATCCCCAGAAAACACGCACCGTGTGTTACAAAATGTGAAATATATCGTGAAAGTTAGGAAAGTGTAAGTAATCGCAATGAAGTTCTTTTTCGCGTCGTCTGAAGTTTTACGATAGAAAATCGCCCATGTTTGCTGACTCGAGTGCTAGCGTGACAAATTACTCCACACCTCGATTTTCATCTCTTCCACTTTGTGCCGATCAAAAAACGATAAAATCTTTTCCATTACATAAAATTGATGTCAAGAACCGAAGAAACTAACCAAATTAAATCGTCGCCGGTGTTACCAGTAAAAAGATGAACCACGGCTTACACAAAATAAACCAATTCCTTCGCCTTCTGTACGTCAATTTTCTTAACACAAGGCGACTTGTTCTCAAACTTGACAAGTCATTAGGAAGCCCATATGCAGCCCTAGCACTCGCAGTGGCAAACATTTGTGCAAACTTTATTAGCTTGCAGCGTCATGACGAATCCGTTACGCAAGAGTTCAGCAAAAACCGACGAGTTGATTTGAAGACGTCGGCCGACATGCCTCAACACTTGTAGAACAACTCCAACTGTAGAGCCGCGACCCATCATGCGAACAGGGTGACTTGAAGTGATTAGTTCAGAGGGTTCAAAGCAATCAATATTGATTGTTGCTTAGTATTAATTATAGAAGCACTCTCAAGAATTAATCTAATGCTCATCGAGTCAAGTGGCAGAATGACTTTATAGTTTATACAGACTTGCAAGTGCTGATACAATATATTTCTGATTGCATGAAAAGGAATGCCAAGAAATTTATAGCTATACTCGATCTGTGTTGAATTCGGTTAGATAACAAGTCTAGGCGAAAGTTTAGTATAAAATAACGAGGTGACTGACTAAACTCATTAATTTTTCTGGGTAATCAGCAAGTAAACAATTTCAGAAAAACAATCCAAGATTGAGGAAATTGCCCGAAATAGAATAATGTTTAGCTGAAATATACACTTTAATGTTGGAATGATAATTTTATTATGAATCTGTCAACTTGTGCCCGGTGATGCGATTCTACAATTTAGATAGTTCTGATTAATTTTAACCTTACGATTAAGAATTTTGAAGTGGACAACCTGAAGACATAACAAGCAGTGACTGGAGACCAAGAAAATAAAAGCTATTTACATGCAACAAAATATAAACGTAATGGAATGCTGCATAAGCATCTCTATTATAAATACCAGCTACAAATTAAGTATTCAGTGTCCAATAAATGTAGATTCGTTATTGAATATCTTTGATACCCTAATTCTTTTACATTATTTGAAACGTGCTTAAAAGTAACCAACTTCACCAACTGTCGAAAGAAAGGGTAGCAAATGATCGGGTGAACACAATACATATGTCAGGAGGCAAGATTAGGTGCAACCTGACTGATTATATAATTATATATTTCTACCTCAGGACAGGGATTCGTATTCCAAGTGTGTGAGGGATAAGTTTAGACACAATCTGTTACAGACTTATCTTGATACGAGGTGGTTGTACATGAGAGTCAATAAAGAGATACAAACAAGTAAAGGCTAAGACGTCGACAGTTAGGTCGGAGTAACTCTAAGGAATGTTACATGGCGTCGTGCTAATTAGTTACTGGGGACCTTACGAAGATTCCTAGCCCTTTTATAGAATTATATGCCTTCAGTCCACCGTGTTCTTATCCTCGTGATACATATGATGTAAAAGCTGTCGACTGAAAGTCTAAAGCAAGCTCTCAGTGACACAGTGGACTCAACGCTTACTAGGTTTGCTGGCACCAGCAAAAAAATTTGGGACTAGAACAATTTTCAAAATGGCTTGCACTGGGTAGCCTTACTTTTGTTTTATGCAGATGAATTTTAGAATAAGTGAAAAAATTGGACCGTACTGAGAGACTGCCTTCATATATGCCCTTGGTCTCGATAATAGTCTTTGGTCAAAGGAAACGATAGTAAATTTTTTTGAATGCCTCAAACGTAAGGCCGCATTATACGAATAATTTGCTACGTGACGGATTATTCATCAATTTATAGCTTTTACAATAGGTTCGATTGAATTAGACTGATTTTCGGAGCGAAATTTCAAGGAATCGCTATAGGCTGCATGCAATTTCTCGTTTACTGTTTGGTGTCCAAGAAGGGTTTAGGGTCCAAGGAGGGTTTAGGTCCAAGGAGGGTTTAGGGTCCAGGAAGGGTTTAGGGTTCAAAATAGGTTTAGGGTCCAAGAAGGGTTTTGGGTCGAAAAAAGGTTTAACGTCATAGAAGGGTTTGGGGTCCAAAAAAGGTTTAGGGTAGCTACAAAAAGAAATTAGGGTCCAGGAAGGATTTAGGGTCCAAGAAGGGTTTAGATCCAAAAAGGGCTTAGGGTCCAAGAAGGGTTTAGGGTCCAAGAAGGGTTTAGGGTCCAAAAAGGGTTTATGGTCCATGAAGGGTTTAGGGTCCAATAAGGGTTTAGGGTCCAAGATGAGTTTAGGGTCCAATAAGGGTTTAGGGTCCAAATAAGGGTTTAGGGTCCAAGAAGGATTTAGGGTCCAAGAAGGGCTTAGAGTCCAAGAAGGGCTTAGGGTCCAAGAAGGGTTTAGGGTCCAAGATGAGTTTATGGTCCAAGAAGGGTTTAGGGTCCAAGAAAAGTTTAGGGTCCAAGAAGAGTTTAGGGTTCAAGAAGGGCTTAGGGTCCAAGAAGGGTTTATGGTCCAAGAAGGATTTAGGGTCCGAGAAGGGTATGGGGTCCAAGAAGGGTTTAGGGTCCAAGAAGCGTTTAGGGTCCAAGAAGGGTTTAGGGTCCAAGAAGGGTTTAGGATCCAAGAGGCTTTTGGGGTCCAAGAAGGGTTTAGGGTCCGAGAGGGGTTTAGAGTCCAAGAAGGGTTTAGGGTCCAAGAAGCTTTTAGGGTCCAAGAAGGGTTTAGGGTCGAAGAAGGGTTTAGGATCCAAGAAGGGTTTAGGGTCCAAGAAGGTTTAGGGTCCAAGAAGGTTTAGGGTCCAAGAAGGGTTTGGGGTCTAAGAAAGGTTTAGGGTCCAAGAAAGGTTTAGGATCCAAGAAGGGTTTAGGATCCAAGAAGGGTTTAGGGTCAAAGAAGGGTTGATCACACGTAAATGTAATCAAGCGTGTTAAATTAGCTTTACTGCATATAAGTGCCTTCAATTTGATTCATGAGGGAGAGCCAATATAATTTGGAACCCTACCGTTAATCCGCTGGCTTCCTATTCGATTGCTTGCTAATTCATCGCAACCGAAATATAAGTGCCGACTCAGCAGGAGGTTCGAGCCATCTCAGCCGAAATTAATGAAAGACCATATCATATCACACAACTCATTGTCCACGTATACAGTAACGGTTTTTAATATTACTCTCCAAAGGGTTGGAGATATCTTCAGCAGGGTGAGGCTTAATGAGGGAGCAGGATGCTTGGAGAATGGCTGGGCAATAGGTTGAGTCTAAGTTCATCGATCGTCTGTTGAATTAACTGTTAACATGAAAAAAGAAAAGATTTAATAGTAATAATATTGTTCATATAATAACAATTATTCTTAAACTTAGTATGCAGGCGAAAGGAAGAGAGCCAATTTTTTTATCAATTGTACGTGGAAAATTATCAACATGTTTCCAAAGCAGGTTATGCGTCGACACGATTAAACGAATTTCAAGCGATACATTTTCAAAACCCAATAAGAATATATTTTATTCCTTTTAAATTTTTTTAAAAGTAACCGGAATAGAGGAAAAGACAACTTTATTTTCTGTCCAACTGCATTATTTTATTTCATTTCAGTTAAAAATGCGTAAATTTACTGCGAGGAAAAACATGACGGTTATTTCTTCTTTCCTATCTTTTTTCTCTTTTATCCTCGCGTTTATCTAATATTTTTATCTCAAAATCCTGCCGTCGCATTAACTTCAGTCTCAAGCCGCAGCTGTCGGTGTCAGGTAATGAATGCTTATGTGGCTTGGATGAATTAAGTCTGGATTTAATTGTGTTAATACCAACTTGGTCAATAATTTTAGATGATTAAATAACTTATGCATCTTGATTGAACTTAACAATCTATTTCTTGCTCATGTAATACCTGAAATCTACTTGAATCATAACCTCATAAGTTGTATATAAAAAAATTTATATGATTGAAAAAAATATTTTTGTAAGTATCTAACAGTTTCTCTCAATGGTGCTATTCGTCGAAGATTTTCAGGCGCAACTCGTAAGTCCTGATGATTTTTTAATCTTAAAGTGACCAGAAATTGTCCATGCGTCCGCGTATCGTAGTGAAGCTGGCGGGGTTCTACCTTAACAAAATTTAGAGTCGCCCCAGCTTCTGGTAATCCAAATCAGAAGCTGCCGCGACTGTAAATTTTCACTGGGTAACAAAATTTAGAGTCGCCCCAGCTTCTGGTAATCCAAATCAGAAACTGACGCGCCTGTAAATTTTCACTGGGAAGAACTCCTACCCTAACAAAATTTAGAGTCGCCCCAGCTTCTGGTAATCCAAATCAGAAGCTGACGCGTCTGTAAATTTTCACTGGGGATAGAAGCTGTATTTCATGCTGGCGCCGATGGCTATGCCGAGTTAGGCGCGAGGAGACGAGCACCGATCACCACATTGCCGCGGATGCCATAAAATGGCTTTAAATAAGCCACGACGTCGTCATCCATTAGCATTTAATTAGAAGCCAACGGCTAGATTGCAGGATCAAACTGTAAGTTAATACGTCGAAAGAAACATGTGCTCATTTGAAAGATGTACGCTGCAGCTTCTAAGTGGAATTTGATGAAATGTTAGAGCAAGTTATGAGTTCCAAGGAGAATGTTATCGAACCGCAGTTCCCATCAGGAAAGGTTGATTACAATTCCTAGGGTCACCATTCAATGGTTCGTGCGATTGAGAAATAATGAATATTGAAGGCCCAAAGCTAAGTTATTGACATAAAATGACGTCTAAATCTAGCTGCTCGCACTTCCAGGCTTGGGAAGAAGTGGTCATTGCGAACAGACGTCAGCGCTTGATTTTATGCCTGTGTAAAAGCGAGGTATATTTATGGAGGTAAAACCCAGACCATAGCCGCAAAGCAAATCTTATGAGTCCACGTACAGATAGAAAAAATCCTTGTGATTGCATGAAATTTTACTCAGGTTGAAAAATGCGCCGGCAACAATGTTACCTTCGAGTTTGCACATTTTTCCCGAACGCACTATGATGGCTTCTATTGATGTTTTGTACTAATGAACATTTCACGCATTCGAGCTCCCAGAAAGAAGTAAGCCCTTGAATTTTGAAAATATTACCTTGAATATTAACAACATTCGATACTATTACAATTACTAATATCATCATAACAGACTATTACCTAGACAGAGTTAAGGCCGCAATTGAAAATGCAAACGTAACTTGATACGGTCATTAAGCAACTGTTCTCTTTATCCCCACGAGGTGTCGATGAAAATCGTCCGAAGATCGACTAAGTAAGCAAAGCGAACAATTTTCCATTTACTGAAATCATGTTTCCAGCATCATGTGCTTTTATCACTGCAGTTTCAGAAGGCAGGAAAACAAATGAAAGCTTGCTTCTCTGATTACAAACATAAGCATTGAGAGCATAACAGCAGCTGTCATCGCAGAACATCTTTGATTGTTTTCAAAAGGTGCAGCGCGATATTCATCCGACAGCGTAGATGATCGCCAGCAAGATAATCGCTAACATTACATACGTGATGGATGACTTGAGCGATAGACTCGCCTCACTCACCGTGCCCCGAGCTGTCAACTTGCTTCTCAGGTCGAGCCGTTAAAATTGTACGGACATTAGGCAGTGAAATATGTCAGGCTCTGAAATTAAAGGGCAGACCGTCGTTACACATATTTTGCGTCGTAAGATGAACTACTTTCATGAAGGCATGTTGGATAGCCGAGCCTTCAGGGGCGCGCTGAGCTCGATCAGCCGAGACATTCAATGGATGCATGGGAGTGCCATCGTTATTGGTAGACATGTTCTGGCTAAAAGAACTTTTGCAAAGCATTAACCTTATATATTTATTATAGTAGAATAAGTTAATTTGTATATTACGTAACTATCCTTTCACACAATATTACATTTTCCATACTGAGAGTAACTTAAGTTATCAGGCCTTTGTATACGAATAGCATCGACGACTGCTTAAATACCCATAGAATTGAAGGTTCATCTAGGATGGTTAATTATTAAGATAAGGTCGTTATCTATACTTATCACTGAATGGAAACACAGGCATGCAAGTAAAACACAGATAAAAAACAGATAAGTTGAGTGTGAACTAAATGAATCCCTTATCCTCTGAACTTTGTCAATTTTAGCTTTATTTTAGAGTTTATTTAGCTAAAATATTGTCAGTAGATGAACGGTAATTGATCGTTTGTCCCGGTATGACCAATAACAACAAAAATTGCTAGAAAAAAATTTCAGATCAATAAATGGCTCCAAAATTTTATGATAATAAAATGTGGATGTTTGTATTATACAAATAGAGCGTATTCGGGTGCTAGGCTAAAATAATTTTGACACTTTTCCATCACAATCACGATCGAAGGACAGCGCATTGAATTCTTTGCCATTCAACTTTGCCCGAGGCTCAATTTGGACACATCAGAGCCCTGGTGAACCTTGTATGCCCAAGTCAGTAAATCCTAATTACAGAACTTGTCTCCCATTTCCTCAATAGCCAACTTTATATCACTCAATACACTAAGCTTAATTAAAGAAATGGGGGCATTTGAACATTTGTCTATGTAAGGACAGACATAATTTTGCTCCTTGTAATTGACATCGCCGATCCGAATCCATCCATTACTGAGAAGCAATTTATTTAGCATTGTTCCTTTATTGCGGTAGACAAGGTCGTGATGATGGTAGTAATCAAAGCGATGATTTTACCGAGTTCTTTGTGAGTGCCGCCGAAGTTCAGTTTATTGAGAAGTGAACTGAACAAAATCGATTCCCTTGAAGTGTTGATGGTCGTGAGAGTCGTGGCAAGGCCAAACGATCTGCGATGTTGTGGCTGGGATAGTAGACGAAATTTTCAATGGGTTGAAATAATGTATAGTTTGCTGATTACAGTACCAAGTTAAGTTGCGTTGCCATATATGTCTTATATAAGGGTAGTAAATATATCCATAATAAAATTAATGGCTTCCGGTTTCTGGATATTAAGTTTGCATGTGAAATGTGAAAGTGCGGCGTGTCTGCGTTCAATGAAGTAAATGAAGATAAATATTGAAATGTCACAGGTTGAAAACATGTGTGCCTTCGCAATTAAATAAACTCGTTAAAAACAACCAAAAAACGTTTAAAAAATTTCTTCAAAATTTTGTTTTCTCAAATAGTTTTGTAAAACATTTTCATGGCATTGCATTTTTCTGGAATAATTGTACATTTGGAGGTAAGATAACGACTTCTTCAACTAGATAGACGAAATTCAATTAAATTCAAACACACCACTTTTTCTTTTTATTCTTTTCGACTACAAAATTGCAAAGAATTTGAATAAAATCGTTACTGATATATACTGATTTTTCATATTATTTTGGTGACACATATCACATTCCTGAGTGGATTTGGTTTCGATTTATGGCGGAGCAACTGTGCGATTTCCAAATCAAGTTCCCCTTTAAATTGCACTAAATATATTCTAAAAGACCGACTGCACTGGCATAGTAATAATATGCGTTTAAAAATTGCTTTTTAAAGACAACACTTCTGAACAATCCAGTATCTTGGATGTTACACATGTACAATGAATTTCTAATTTCATTTTCAAATATTGAAAAAAAATTATTCATCACATTCATATAAGAAATCCAAATTTTGTAAATTTTAAAAATTATTTATTCTGTCAATTACTTCATGCATTGTC